AGATATGTAGATAGATTGAAAAGATAGATAATTGAGTCAATCAAACAGTAGGCACCGTAAGTAAAGTGTGTGTATTACTGTGATTTATAACGCGTGTTATAAAAGAAAGAATAAACTAGTTTTAATTAAGAAAGGACTTGTATCATGGAATACATCAACAAAATGAATGACATCCTATCTGATAAAAAAAAATTCAAAGCCATCCCAAACAACCCAACAATCACATACAAAAAACAACTAAACAGAACTTTATTACAAATGAAAAAAAAAAAGATAATTTAATTACTGACAATCTTTATTTTTATCTATGTAAAACTGATTCATGCATGCCACAACTCTATAGCATTCCTAAACCAAACAAACATGACTGCCCCCTGCAACTTATACTATCCGCATATAATTCCTTCAACTACAATCTTGGCAAATACATAGCCTGGGCTTTCACACTATATGCACATCTTCAGTTTCTTTTTTTAAAGATGCCTTCAATTTCAAATACACATTAGACCAACTAAATTTTAAAGCCTTAATGACTAGTTTTGATGTCGTGTCACTCTTCACTGAAGTCCCTGCCAATGAAGCTTGCAATATCGCACTCGATCTCTACATTAAGGACCCCAACAAGTTAATGCACATCCCCAGTACACTTTTTACTTCTCTATTAGAATTTACAACTAAAACCAACTTCATTTTCAATAACGAACATTTCCTTCAAATAGATGGTTTAAGTATGGGCAATCCTGTTTCACCTGTTCTTGCCAATATATTCATGACCCAGATCGAAACAAGCCATACATTCTGTGCTTTATTCCCCACTATACTAGTACAGATATGTCAATGACCTATTTGCTGGTTTCACTTCTACAGAACACACACTAACTTTCATTGAGCACATAAGCTCCCATTCATATCAACATCAAATTTACCATAGAACACGAAAATAATATACAGTTATCTTTTCTTGACCTCAACATTATTAGATCGAGCACATAGTTTAAAACAAAAATTCACCGTAAGAACAAACACACCGGCCTCTAAATTCCCTGGAATTCTGCTAACAAATCCAACAACAGAACATTACACTGAAAACAGCTCAAGGATAATCCACACTTGGACAAAACTAACCATTAAACACAAAATTCTTGTCAATGTAAAATTCTCTCAAAAACCCAGCCCTAAATTAAAATTGTTACTAAACAAAAATTATTCAGAATCACACAACACCAACATCATTTACAAAATAGTATGCAATAACTGTCCAAAATTCTACATCGGAGAAACAGAAAGAAAATTGGAAACCAGACTCACAGAACACAATAAAAAAAAACAACCCATGTTTTCCACCATTGTAACTCAAAAAACCATATTATATCTATTAAAAACACAGTAATTTTAAACAAACAACCAAACATAAACAAATGAAAAATCAAGGAATCTATCTTAATTGAACAAAACCACCCTACTCTAAACCAACACCCTGCGACAGGAACAGCACGCACACTGCTACTTCTTGGCGAGAAACCCCCAAGCCACAATACAACACTCCACCAATTAACGCCTTCCACGAGCTAGATACCACCATCTGCTTACCAATACCTATAAATATCCACCAACAGTAATCACAATTCACACAACATTCAGCCTTGATTATGGATGCAGAACGCATTCGAAACACGTTGGCCAACTCATCACTAGCTACAACTTTTACCCGTTGTTCTAACAACGTTAAGACGGCATATATATATATATATATCTGTGTCAATGTAAACTACTTGTACCTGATGATGAAAAAACCTTGTCGAAACATTGTACATTTGCTGTTATGCTAAACTTATATTAAAGTTTTTCTTCATTACCCATTCAAGCCATCTCCAAGCATTAACAGTGGTGAAAATAGGCCAGTATGGTGTACCAGAACAAAATATTTGGAATTTTGTTATATTTTTTCAATTACTAAAATACCAATGCAACACACAAAAGAAAGCTCCAGTTGTTTTGTTTCAATAGTTTTGCAAACTATCAATTTAATAGGGAAAAGTACTTCACATGTATCATTAAAGTTCATCAGTAATTATTTATTGAAACAGATAAATCACATTTGAAGGCATTTTTATAGGTTGGGGGCCTCATATTTTTTTATTCACATCAAGGGAGCCTTAGATTAAAAGAGTTTGGTAACCTGCTGTAAAGCATTATATGTGCATCAAATGTGAAGGAAAGATAATGTGGTCAAGGAAAGAAATAGGTACTGTTTTATTAAAGTAATCCTCCATTGAACTATATTCTGCATTTGCATGTTGGGCTTGTCGATGACTAACTCATGACATGCTAACATTAATATTAGATTTGTTTTCAATGTTATTGCTGTGCTTGAAGATATGATGTGAATAATCATCTACGTTCACTCTTAGTGAAGTCAATTCTTTACAGCATTGTTCTATTAGGGAAACACCAGAAACAATGTCTTAGCTTGGACCTGCAATTTTATGCTTTTTTCAAATAGTAAATGGAATATTGTAAAGCTGTTAAACAAAACCTGAATTCAAAAGATTCCAGTATTTTTAGATAAGCCATAGCATTTTTCTTATCTTCACAGCCCAATTGTCATTAAATGTTTCAAAATTATCCTCTCCATACATAATAACCTCACACAATCTTCTTAACCCAGCATGTAATGCACACATTGAGTAGTAGAAGACATGATGAAACTGCTCCATGCTGGATGCCTTTTGATGGATTGCCTTTTATAGTTAGTTCCCCATGTTTAGGTATGGATGTAATTTATATAGTTATTCCTTTAACTTGATCTATAAAATATTGTATTGGTGAAACTATAACTATATAGGCATAATTTTTTTACATCAGAAAAAAAAACCCTCCCCTTACATACATGCATGTCATTGTTATATAAAAGATGAGAAAATAAAGACAATTTTTTAAAATAAATCCTAATTAGATTATGCAGTCATAGTATAGAATAGAATTTTGAATATCTAACTTATAAATTTTACTTGCTGATGAACCTGTGTAATACACAGTGAAAGGTTTATGACTACAAAATTTTATTGTTGATCTTGCTAAATGCTATTAGGTTATCTTATTACCTTACATCCATGGTTATTGCTTGTAAATAGTCAATGATATTGTTGGTTCATTTTATTGTTGTTCTTTCTATCTGCTATTATAACATTTTTTTAATCTAATTCAATTTCTGTAATGCATCATATGAAATTTGTTATTTTTCTTTAACAGCTTCTTCAGCAGTGTTCTACTAAAACACAAACCATAACTGACAGTGAAAAGATTACTCTGACCTTGTATGTTCTAATGTGACTAATTATCATCATAGCAAATATATGACTTAGAAATAAAATTAACAATTATGATTATAAAAATGCATTTTTGTCCAAAATAACATCTATTTAAAAATATTTCATGATGAAAGTATGTATAATAAATGTGTACATAGATTGTAAATCCCATCAATACCAACAGCAGCCACCCCTACTGACTGGTGCTTAGTTAGCCATAACTGGAGTTATAAAATCATTGTATTTTAATAGAAAAAGAACTTCACACGTCCATCATCATTCCTAGTATATTAAACCATTTCATTAAATGTGTGTTTAAAACAGGTTTTCTACATTCTTAAGTGTGTTTTTATTATGTCTTTGGCCCAAAATGTTTTCCATAAGAATGCATCTCCAATTATATAATGGGAGTCTACAAGAAAAAAAGGTTTTGCTAAACAGAAAACTTTTCAAAAATGCATATATCAAGGGATGAGTGTACTAGAAAGTTTCTAAAATTTTCTTCTCTAGAATATATTAGAATCCTATATTCACTGATTCTCTCTCTTCAGATGGAATGTGCATAACATACTACAGCTCACACAAAATATAAGTTGTTGCCATGACAAAGGTCAAGGTGACTCTAACAAGAAACTAATTACTGCTATCTGAGGGGCCTCATAACATACTGTTACATGCATGCATTCACATAACATGTCATATTTAATTGAGAATATGATCATGAAATATCATTAGGAATGAACATAAAGATATTGTAGTGAAAAATGCATTATAGTTGCAGTGTGAAATAGAAAAGTTACATGATCTATATATTTCAATGCTTATACTCTATCGAAGTAGGACTACTAAAATTGATTTTTTACTTTTTCCATCACTAAGTCATGCTGCAGGGCCCTACACAATCGCCTAACTCACCTATAGCTAGATCCGGTCCTGCAAGCAGGAGTGGCAGTAGTCATTCTCAAGTAGAGTAAATACTATGGGATGGGGATCAAAAGAACAATAAATTTTCCATTTAAATATTTCAATTTGTCATTTGTCAAAATTTAAGAAAATTTATATATATTATACACTGTCACTAGTTATCAAATAACAATACCCTGCACTTGTAGAATGACCTCAGATATTGATATTATTAATTATCACCAATCATAATCTTGACTTCTTGGGAACCTACAATAACAAAATAACATATTAAATATGTATAGCTGTATCATCCCTATATTCATGTTTGCATTCTTTTTGGAACTGCCATCCCTACATCATTTTACATTTACAAAATGTTTTTTACTACTTGTTTTGTGATGTTTTTTCCCTAACTAATAGTTGGTGTATTCTATGAATGTGTGTAATAAAAGTTAATAGTATGTGTATTGGTTTGTTTTTTTACTCCTTCACTTCGTGCATAATATAGAGATTGCCTCTCTAAAGACTGATTGTATAGTGTACAAAGCATTAAGTATTCTACATTTTACAGTCATCTAGTGTTCATCTATTATTGGCTGATAATTTCTGTTCACCCTGTACTTAGATTTTTTAATGGAACACCACATTTCTGCTAACTTCAAGTGGTAATGATAAAATCGTTTACACTGACGAGAACTGAGATGCAGACATCTTATTTTTACACTTATGTTACAAATGTTAAAAAAATTTAACAATATCCTTTAAAATAAAGGTATAGCATACCTTACTCATAGCTTCACTTGGGGCTACAGGAAAGTACAGTGGATCAACAGAACTGTCAGCAAAACCTACGTAAATCAGAAAAATTAAATAAATACAAATAGACTGTGATTATATATATATATGTGTGTACAATATTTTAAATGCTGTTGAAGAAAACATTACCGAAACTAATGCATATCTAATGCTTAAGAACATTTACCTTGAGAGTTTAAATAGAAAAACAGGTATTAAAGAAGAGAGAATCCTCAATAGCTGAGGCACTTGAAATTCTTTTAGGCAGGATTAGAGTAAATTAATGTACAAGACCTTTTTTTTCCTTTTTATTAGCTATATTTTTGTGTGCCAGCAATACCAAGCATGGGCTCGTGTATACCCGATTCAATTTTATTACTCATCAGGATCTCTACCAGACTACCCTCAAACTGAAATTTTTTCAGGCAGGATTAAAATAAATTACTCTATGAGACCTTAGGCATGGTCAAATATAACAACTGAAAGGGTTTGACCTCCTGAATCCAAAACTGTAATTATATCTTAAATCGGCCAAGAAATGACGGAGCTATGAGCTGAAAGTTTGTACTTGAAAAAACAAAAAAACTATATAATTTTCAAATTCTAATCATTTACCACTTATATGTCTAGTATTATCCAACAGGTCTTTTTAACACAAGTAATAAAAAATGTTTTTGCAAAAATTAAGAATTAATTAGGTTGTAGGGATGGCAATGCTAAAAAGTACAGAAACAAGGTAACAATGAATACACAAAACCATACAAAAGTCCCTACATAAGTAGCCAAATCTTTCAAAGAATAATTTTTATCTACAACTAATGTTGAATTCCTGTCAATTGCATGAATTCAGGTTTGAATAAAAC